GTGTGCGCCTGTTATCAGTAGTCATATAAAACATGATAATGTTATTTAATATTTTATCATGTTATAATGCCTTGACGACCACAAAACATAACAGTTTCAATAATTGTTTTTAATTTGGCACGGTTTTGTTCTATCTCAGATTTCAATTTTTTTATCCAKTTGTATTAAAATAGAATCAGTAGTTTTATTAGACACTGACATTAAACAATCAAACTTTAATAATGTCATTTTATGGTATTTATTGTTATCGTGTTTATTAAATTCTTCTATTGCGTTTTTCCAATTTGAAAACGGCGTTAAAACAAATTTACCCAATTTTTGACTACCCGAACCACCTTCATGTTCATTAAAAAGTTATAATGATTACATATTTTATTACATTTTGTCAAAAAATGTATTAAGCATTACAAACCGGGTAAAGGAAATTTTTTCTCGTCTCGTAAAAATCTATATGCCTTTGAAGAAATGMTACTAATGGAAATAGCAGAAGAAATGTCGTCAGATGTCCATTTAAAAACTTTTTTTTTAGGATTTAGTAGCATTTCTATTTGTGTTGGACTAAATATGTCTTTTAGGCCCTCCGCACACTACGTGATTGACACGCGACGCGATTGAGCAACGATAAGTGCGATAAGTGCAATTTGTGCGATTTAAGGTCCACCAACGCGAAACGATATTCAGTGGATCATACAGTGTCAATCGCGCGACTTGTTTTGATCTGTTTTCAATTTTTTTTTCAATTTTCAAAAAAAAAAAAATGTTTAGTTCGAGTGATGAAGAAGATATTGTTATGTAATATTGCTAAAAAAGGATGCAAACAAAAAAGAAAAGGAAATATTGGGTTCATCCTTTTATTGAGAAAAATATCAACTGCAGAACTTTTGTAGCGGCCAGAGAACTACAAGAAACCGATGCAAAATTTTTGGCATTTTATAAGATGTCTAGAGAGTCCWATGCAGAACTTGTAACAATTATTTCTCCTGCCATTCATCAGCATAACACTCACCTGAGAGAATGTGTGAGTCCAGAGGAACGAATATTAATCACATTAAGGTAACGTTCATTGAATTGTTTATTATAATACACATTATTTTAATTATAAACGTATTAATATATATAATTAAATACTACATAATTCTATTGTAAATAGTAAAATGTAAAATACTATAAGGTCAAATAATGTTGTTTATCGGTTTCGTCCTCGGATGAGAATGACGATAAAAACGAACCGGCTGGAGATTGCTGTAAACGTGTTTCTACGGATGTAGCAGGACTAAAAGTACAAGGGTTTGTTCCAAGAATTTCATCGATGATGGTAATAGACCTCCTCTTGTATGTTCTGAGTTSTGCAGCAGTCATAGTCAGCAGATCTGGTATTAGGCTGTTCAAAAACTGTTTAATAGAATCCGTTCTTATATCTCAAGAATTGTCGATCTTGGCTTTTTTAGATTTAAAATACTCAATAAAGGCTTCATCAGCATCACTGGAATTGTTATTTTTTTTAACGGGCGATTTTTTTTTGTCAATTTTTGACATTCAGCCTGTTCTGGTTGGCTAGAATKCTGAATACTTGATTGTGTCGGTGGGGGAGGCATAGGTAATGTTTCCAGTTGAGGAGAGTTTGGCTGGTCTTGTATTTCAGAAGACTCTGTTACCTGAGATGTATTTTCTTTACATGATTTCATTTTCAAAATATTTTTACTTTTTTGAGCTATTTATAGGCAACTAAAATATTCGTTAATGTTTATTTAAATGTAATATAGTATATCATAAGACTTAGGCTGATAAATCATCTCCGTTAAGAATCGTACTTCGTATACAATGATACCTATCATTGCATTCAAATTTAACACTTCTATAATAAATAATAGTGATCCATACGGCACCTAATGTACAGCAGGCCGGTACCCACTTACCCGCTTTTTTTAAATTAATTTTAAAAATGTAATTAATATTTTTTTATTATACAGGTATTTAGCTACAGGATGTACATTTGTCTCACTTGGGTTATATTTTTGTCGGGTAGAGTCTACTGTTAGTCGCATCGTAGCAGAGACAACTAAGATATTTTGGGAAAAGATGAATAAGGATTGGATGCCGAAACCAAATAAAGCTCAATGGAAACGAATTTCACAACGTTTTGAGTCTTTGTGGAACCTTCCAAATTGTATCGGGAGCTTAGGTGGTAAACATATTCGCATCGAGAAACTGCCGAATACTGGTTCGAGTAATTTCAATTACAAGGCCTATCACTCAATAGTGTTATTAGGCTGCTGTGATGCTGACGGCCTTTTTACTATGATAGAAACTGGATATGCTGGTAGGAACAGCGATGGAGGGATATTTCGAGCTTCAGCAATGAAATATTGGTTAACACGCAAAGAACTTGATATACCTTCACCTTCAAAGCTACAATATGACGAAAATGACTGCGAATTTCCTTATTATTTGTGGATGATGAGGCATTTCCAGTATCGACATATTTGATGAGACCCTACCCAAGACGAAACCTTAACAACGTACAAAGAGTATTCAACTATCGTCTAAGCCGTGGTAGAAAAACGATAGAGTGTTCATTTGGAATGATGACAGAAAAATTTCAAGTCTTAAGTACTGCCATTCGTTGCCATGATGTTGGTAAAATCAATGACATTATAAAATCATGTTGTATTCTACACAATTTTGTACGAAAAAGAGAAGGAACTCAATATACAGCACAAGATTTTGGAAATGTCGATCGTCGTAACACCGTTGACCTTACTAATGGTTTTTCATTAGGTGAACATACAGACACAGTAAATGAACACTCAACAGCTTATTCATTAAGAAATTATTTGGCAAGATATTTTATTACTCCATAAGCATCGATTCCATGGCAATGGAATTCTTGTATTTAATGTTTGTGTTCATTAATTAATATTAGTTTTCACATATAGTCGAWATTGCATAATATAGAAATAGAACTCAACCATACTCAATTAAATTTAAAATTATTTAAAATGTACTTASTTAAATTATACTTTTAATTAAACTTAATAATGTCGTTATACATTAGGTAATCAAATAATCGTTATATAGGTAATTTAAGAATTCACAAATAAACAATTTACCATCACATTTATTACGTTTTACTTTATTTGTAATTTGTATTATTTTTGTATACAAATAGGAAATTAAAATATGTAGTTATGGCTATAATAATATCTATCATTTAATAATAATATGGGCATATTAAATAGGTACCTTTATAATATACATACAGCAGTGAGCTCAATAATATATTATTAGATAACATTGTAATAACAATGTCACCGATACGGATATCTATAAACTCCATTATATTTAGGTCCATAAATAAATCTCTCCATTGAGTACTATTAATATAATATTTAATTATAGTTATTAGTTGGTACTTGGGGTATTATTAGATTGTACATATTTATTTCGTGTGTCATTCCGCATTCGTGATCCAAGGAGTCACATGGCTGCAAAATCTGAACTGAATTTAGGGAATAGAAACTTACGAAATTAATTTGTAAAAATTTTATTAATTTAATTAAGAAAATATAATAATTTTAATATATATATATATATATATTGTAATTTAAGATTTATACCAGCAGTCTTAAAATTAAAAAATAAATTTTTTGAATACTTCAGTTCCAATATGGGAATTTCTGAAGCTCTTAAGTATCATGAGCGTATTTTAGAGTTAAATGATAATTTTTCATTGGAAGACTTAGCAAATGGTGCTATTAATCCAACATACAGAACAGTCCAGTATTGGCACGATGAGTGGAGAATTAAGAACTTGGGGCCACGTTCTGGAATTGGAATGATTGAAGTAGGTTAATAGGGTGACTATTGTCAATATGCAACAATATATTTATGTAATTTGAATTGTTGTTCTATTTTACTTTATTCTTTCTTAGAAATTGAAAGAAAAATTGAATATACATTCAGAAAAAAATGTAATTGTTAAATATATTGAAGATCCATTTGCTCTTTTTATTGTAACTCCTCTTATGCAAAGAGATCATGAATTAAAATCTTTAAGTGGTATAGTATTCGTTGATAGCACTAGCGCATGTGATGCTGAAAACCATTCAATAACTTTTATATTAACTCCATGTGCAGCAGGAGCAGTACCATTAGCAATTATAATAACAAAAGGTATATGAATTGTATTATGATTAATTTTCTTGTTCAAATAATGTATACAGAGTTTAACATTGTGTAATTAATTAATTTATACAGGTCAATCTTATTTAGCATATAGTACAGGATTTAATTTGCTTAGAGAGTGTGGTTTAAAATGTTTTGGTGGTATTGGATGGCCTAAGATTTTTGTTACTGATAATGCTCAAGCAGAAATAAATGCAATTAAAAATACTTGACCTGAAAGTGATAACTTGTTATGTATATTTCATGTTTGTCAGGCAGTTTAGCGTTGGCTTTGGGATTCCAAAAATAATATTCCTCAAAATAAAAGACCAATATTAATGAAAAGTTTTCAAAATATTTTGTATGCAGACACGGTAAAACTTGCTGAATATTATTTTAATAGTGCTATAATAGCGAATTCAGAATATCCAAAATGGATTAAATACATTACAAACCATTGGGATGGTCGTCAAAAATKGTGTTTTGCTTGGAGGAATGAGGATARCCGTACGCATATTTAAGGATACAGCACTCTCAAGAGTTAAGGCCTATAATGTTATTGCATTATTAGATTTCACTTGCACTGTGTTGGAAGAGCATTACTGTAAGCGACTAATGACATTTGCAAATTGTAGAAATCCAAAAAATAGAGAAGCGAGAATTTTCTTGAACACATTAATTAAGAAGGCAAATTATGTGAAAAAAAATCAAATTATTCGAARTGCACAAAATAATTATATTATTCCAAGTGAAAAGGATCCTTCAATAACCTATGATGTTAATGTASAAACTGGTTGTTGTTCATGTTCAATTGGGATGTATGGTAAATTTTGCAAACATCAATGTGCAGTAATGTACATTATGATGATATGTCAAAAAATTTCCCTCCTGTAACTCCTCAAGATAGACATGAAATTGCTATGCTAGCATCAGGAGATAAATCTCTAAAAGTTGATTTTTTCAATCATTTTATGAAGAAAACTGCATATTTAGATGAAATAAATATTGCTCATAATGTGGTGAACTCTGATGGAAAAATCAGTTGAAAAATTAGTTGARAACAATGAAACCAATGAAAGTTCTGAATATGGCTGTGCGCCACAGCTGTACTTACCTGGGAGGCTCGTGAACAGCAATGACTCGTGCCCTGTCGGGGATGGGGTTACCACAATATTAAAATAAATAAAATATCAATTCAGGATTGTGAATAATAACAATGTACTAATATTTTTGATTTTACACATAATAACAAWCATAATAGTATACATTAATAATGTAGAATAAGAAACGGTATCGTAAGGAGACAAAGACGGTGATCTGGACCTATTTTAGACCGAAGCTGACTAATATTGATCTCYGGACCGGAGCTGGTTGATGCTGATCACTGAACCGAAGCTGGTTGATAATACTGACGGGACCGGAGCTTGTTGATAATGTTTACTGGATCGGAGCTGGTAGCAATCGAATCCAAAGAAGATCAAGACTTGTAGTATTGAATTACACTCGCGACTACTCGATTCGCTATGTCGACTCGTCGACCGCTGACTGCGATGACGGTGTCTTCTGACAATAACTTCCGAAAGCGACTGTATTTAAAAAAGTTTCAGAAACGGCGGTGCAACAAAGGGCACAGACAAACCGCAACAACGAGAACCACGTGTAGTAAAAAGGAAAAGCCAAAAGCGTGTTTTTTAGAGCGATATACATCGGATATTACAAACAGGGGAACGAGCTTGTATTCGAGACAAATTGTCATCTCGAAGGTACCTTGTTGATTGACCGACGAAGCTTGTGATAACGCGGAAGTGGTGGCAGTCGAATGCGGAACCGCGTACTACCATAGAGAACCGTTAACCGAAGACGAAGTAAATATCGATCCGGGAGTAGACCCAGGCCGAAAAAGAATATTAATGTTAATGTTAAACCGTTACCGTCATGTTTTCGCGAAATCGATCCATGAACTAGGTTGCACAAACATACTTAAGATGGATATCGTCGAAGTGGATAATGCCAAACCTGTCCAAACGAAACCATATAAGACCTCACCGACCGACAGACGCAAGAAAGCCGAGATACTACAAGAATGGAAACAAGCCGGTATCGTCTCTGATTCAAACTCGTCTTACGCCAGTCCAGTTTTATTGGTCAACAAAGGTAACGGCGAGAAGAGACTGTGCATTGATTATCGAAAATTGAATCTACAAACTGTGACGCAACCGTTTCCCATGCCCGATGTCGACAAGCAACTTAGCGAGCTCGCTGATGGACGGATTTTTACGACATTGGATTTGTCCAATGGTTTTCTGCAAATCCCTCTTACCGATGAAATTAAGGAAAAAACCGCGTTTGTAACAGAGGAGACAACAGCTAAATTCGAAAGGATGCCCTTTGGGCTGAAGGGCACCCCTGCGATCTTCCAAAAATTAATGTCCATAGTGTTTAAGGACCTTAGAGAAGCAGGCAAGGTCCATACTTACCTCGACGACAGAATAGTCCCATCGAGGACCTGGGACGAAATGCTTGAAGTCCTGGAATCGGTTTTTAAGGCTTTAGCGCGAGGTGCGGGGTTATCGGTCTGCCGTCTATGCGGTCTCCTTGTGGTCGTCGGCTGGGCGGTGGGCGGCGTCTCGTCAGTCTCTTTACAAAATCGAACCGCTCGTCCGGACTTAAGTAGCGGTATTATACTGTCCACGCGTGGGCTGGGTACCTCTCTCTTCGGAGTTAGGGAGCTAACACGGCAATCGTCGGTCACGGGTTGGTCTCTGGGAGTAAAGCCCCTCGGCCTCCTGTTGGCTGCTGGTGTGAGATCAGCGCTTTTCGGGTTGCGATGACGGCTCTAGCCGCAGTGTCGTACTCGTCTCCCGGGATGGGCCTTGACGGGTCCATGGTTAGTAGGCTTGGTTCGCACGTGGCGACGCATGCTGAAACCGAGCACTGGCGAGGCCAAAGGTGTGTGAGGGCACCACCTGCCTCTCACCCCAGGAAAAACTATAGCGGTGGCTAGGGGCGACACGACATCCGTATTCCAGGTAACTGGTTGAAACGGTTCGTCCGATAGGTAGYGATCCGCGAATGTGCTTCGAGGACGTGGAACCATGGAGAGATAGAAACAAAAAAGGCAGCACTCCAGACTTAACCAAAGACAGGAAGGATGATTTCTTCTCATTTGATAATACACGCTTAAATTATAAGAGAACGGGAAACCCAGCTCTTGACTCACTGCGCGAGGCCAAAAGAAAAAGACAGGAGAAAGCTAAACGAGAAAATTCAATTAAACTAGAAAAGGAAAGGATGTACGCAATAGCCAAAGAGGAAAAGAGAAGGCTTGACTACGAGGCATATCCACCACCTCCGTACACTAGGGATCTATATAGKTTACCTGACAGCATATATGAAGAGTTACAGTTAAAAAGACTGATACATGGATTATATACTAGTTCAGATCCCGAGGATACCAGACGCAGGAGAATGGTGTACCAAACATTACCAGAGGATGATTATGAATACGTCCAAACGGCGCCACTAAGGAGATGGGTGAGAGACGAAATTGAAAAGCAACTAAAGAGGGATCGCAAGAATCATCCGATGACGAGTACTCAGAAGCCGGGACGCGGCCACAACCAAATCAGGTTAGCTTAAGGCCACCGGTAAGATCAAGAATGCCGTTACCAACGCCCATAGGGAAAGTAAAAGCCAGTGCAAATAAGGCTAGGGACTCAGACTCTGACGATGGGTCAGTCATGGGTAATCCAGGGTAATCCAGGCACACCGATGAGACTCAGGGGGGGAGTAAAATCATCTGAAACATCTGCAGAGAGGTCCATAGAGATACCAGAGGTAACGGTAAGGACTCGGCAATCGAGCTCAGTTTTCACACCAGGCCAAGTGGTAAGAAAAATGACAGACAGGAGTCCGGATACCATGGCACTAAGTGAAGACAGCGACCAGAGCGACGTAGGGCTAAGGAACAAGAAGAGGAAGACAAACCCAGAAACATCGGGAGTAAGTGCTACGAACGCAATAGCTCCTGGTATGCGTCAGGAAGTGGCACAGAATCACTGCAAAAGAGCCAAGGCACTAGGAACCAAACTTACCGACATCGCGGTAGTGGAAGCAGGAAAGAAGAAGTTGTCTCAGGCAACACTAAGGGAAATTCAATCAATAAAATCGGAATACCAGGAGTTGGTAGATGACCTAATCCTGGAGAACGGACTGTTGCTTGGCAGGCTCTTGGAGTCTAGAGCTTCAAACGAAGCAAAGAGTATCGAAATGGCACAAAACCAAAGCAAGGCTGGTACAAAATCAAGACTGGATCAGAGAGAACCCTTAGATTCAAATATCTCGCTGGACGAGAAAATGAACAATCAGCCGATATCGAGGAACAGACGTAGAAAAAACACTCAAAAGATCAAGAAACAGGTCCGCATCCAAGCAACACCGGGACAAGCAATCGAAAAAGCTGAAACCGACGATACCACTGACGGCAATACAGACGGAGAGTTTACCGAAGTAACACACAAGTGATTGTATTCGCAATTGAGGTCAAAAGCAACAACGTAGAACATACAAGAAAGACGATCTGGGTGGACATTGTCAAGAAAACGGGAGCGCCCAAGATTGCCCAGCAGAGACAGTATTACAAAAAGGCGAAATGACAGTCATAAACATAGTGGCGGCAGASGATGAAACATACGATGCATTAAAACGCATAACAGAGGAAAGACCGGATGTACAACTGAAACCGAGCAAATGGCCAATGGTTATGATCTATGATGTAGACAAGACCCTAACGCCAGAAGAGATTTCACAACACATCTTAGCACAAAACACAACGCTAGGTTGGCAAACGTCCCGCTCTTCGTCACGTGGGGTTCCTGGATTAACACAACATCTAGACCTCTCTACCTTACCTCGGACAGCAATAGCAGGTCGTCTGTTGCCAGTCTCCCCCGTCCCAAGTTTACCTACCCTACTCTTACACCGTCCATTTAAATTTCCGGACTTCCCTCCGGAAGTGTGACAGGTCACAGGCCCAGCCACTCGAGGCACAACATGTGCACCTGCGAGCAGCAAGATCCGCAACACAGTGCGCAGCGTGATGCCGGCCCGAACATCGCSCGCAGACCACCGACGGCGCCTTGCAGAGTGGACCAATGTGTCCGTAACGTTGGCATCTATGACACCTTCGCACGTCCACGCTGGRACCCACCCGACACCGTGACAGCCCAACAAACAACGTCTGACCAACAATCTCGCCAGCAACCTCTGGTGTTACCACGAACTCTACATCTCRTCCCCGTCTCGTTTTTCCTCTTCCTTTTCGTGGGACCAGTTCCAGACTTAGGTTCCACCCCGGTCTCAGATTCACAGAACCTTCGTTCTGCTCCTCCAAAAGCGCAGCGACCCCCTCGTCCTTCACCTCGATCCCAACCCCGTAGACTTTTATACGAGGATTTCTCTCACCCACCGGGCGAATGTCCAACGAAATGTTTTGAAGAAGTTTCCTCGTCTCCTCATTCTCTGGCTTTAGGTATAATTTGTCCTAACCTACTTTTTTTATTTTTCTAAACACCRGCGCACATTTTTTCCGAGATAGAACATCCCAGAGAGTCTTGACTAGAGGTAACGATTTTAGACGTGTTTTTAAAATACACGTGTACACGAAGTTCGTGTATTTTAAATACACGTTCGTGTAATTAATATTCCATGAATAAAAATTATATTTATTAAAAAATATTACGCTTCATAATTTATTAGTATTTATAACTATTTATTCAGTACTAACAACAATAATAACATTTAAAATAATATTAATACTAATAAT